TCCATGCTCATCCCCATGTGTGGCAAGTAGGCTTGTATCTTTCATACAAGCCTCAAACGTGTTCAGAACTACATTGAGTTCCCTTGTGGGTTTAGGGTTTAGGGTTTAGGGGTCAGGGTTTAGGGTTTAGGGTTTAGGATTTGGGGTTTCAGGTTTAGGGTTTAGGGGTTAGGGTTTAGGGTTTCAACACTCCCAATAGGGCTCAATAGGGTTTAAAGGTTAGGGGTTAGGGTTTAGGTTTTAGCCTTTTCAAGGCTTTTTGGGGTCTGAAGATGGTGCGTTTGAGATCTTCTTCCCAAAGTTTAGGGCTCAGTTCTCGGCTAAGGTCTGTTCCACTTGGGATTCAGTCGAGAAGAAGACTCCCCTCACAACCCTAAACCCCAAAAACCCAAAAACCCTAAAACCCAAAAAACCCCAAAACCCTAAAACCCCAAAAACCCAAAAACCCTAAAACCCCAAAAACCCTAAATCCCAAACCCTCACAAGCCTCAACTCCGAGCCAGGCCTTGCTTTTCCCTGCGCCCTTGGCTTTGGACTTCGAGACGGGTCCCAGCGGCGGGAAGCCGCCCAGAGGGGGGAAGTCCTGGGGGCGTTCAGAAACCCCCGGAAAGAAGCTCTACCTATAGCCTCCATTGTAGTTCCTTTTTGGGGGCTACCTTTTAGGATCCATAATATATAATTGGTTAAACCAAAAAAAGGAACTACAATGGAGACTATAGGTAGAAACCTAAGATGATCCACGCAACACCCGAAACACATCCCAAAGAAGGGCTTCCATCATTGGATCCGCCGTACAGGTACAGTTAAGTTACGGGTGTATCATCTCAGCTTGGTGATGCGCATGGCTCCAAACTAGGGCTTAAGGCCGTGGGTTTCGGCCAGTACGCGCCCAAACTTGGACACTTTCCAAGGGTGCGACCCAAGAAGTTTGACAATCAGCCCTCTGGAGGTGTAGGTTCTGAGTCCTCTGAACTTGGCATCGCTCGTCGCCAGCAGCCAGGCCGATGCTTGCAAAGTAGTAAAGATAACGAATCGGTTCTCAAACCTTGTGTTGCGCCTGCATCGCATCAGTAGGCATACCGTGGGAGTCCCGCTAGCTGTCAAATGCCAGTTAAAAGCTGGTGCATGTTCGCAGCACAGCCACGTCAGCAGCCACGATAGCTCGACACAAGTGTCTACTTGTGGGAGCCAGGACTCTTGAGCCCAATGTCAGGGTACCGACGACACAACGACCGGTTCTGAAATCCAACTGACAGAAAGCCACGGAATGGGACAACCAAACCTATTTAACTGTCTACTGAAGTATCGGAATAGGTTCCCGATGTGTACATCCTTTTGTTGTTGGAAATCGGCATCCACGGCAATGCTCGTGTTCGGCGTTCGGCGTTACAGCGAATAAGGCTGCGGCAGAAGATGCCAAGTGATCTTGTAGATTGTCCTTGCAGATCTTGCAGGATGAACTTGTGTTTGGAATGGGTGGGTCGATGTCGGATATGGAGTGAACATCGCCACATGCATACACATCTGTGCAGGCGAAGGCTTGAAGAGGCATGTTAATGCTCGGCTCCCGTATGCATGGTATGCGTGCCTGATGCGTGCTTACGGCGTCAGCTTACCTGATCCCAAGTTCTTCTTAACAACGCCCTCTCGGTACGTGGGAACCCGCCAGCGAGCTGCTAGCTTCGAGGCTAGACTCGGCGTGTCAGTGCCGGGAACTCTCGGGATCCGGACTGGCGAGCAGAACGTTGCCGGAACCTTCACCTGGTCACTGGTGAAGTTCCAAACATCTCCGCAAGATGAACAGAAAACTGTCCCAGTGCCGTGAGCCCAAACTATCACCTCTTCTTCTTGGGGGGAAGGGATGCAACCACAGACCAAGATGTTCAACCCTCGTAGCACATCTGGAGATTCTGGAGTGATTCTACATCATGCCGTCGCAAAGGGTTGGAGACCTCCGGCGCGGCTGCGCTTGTGGCGGCACCTCGAAGGAAGGTGAGGACACAACTCAAGCTCTTAGACTCTTGACCACCCCCACTGTATCAAAGAGAAGTGAAAAATCGCCAAACCTGATGACCGGAGCCCTGTTACCTAACCCTAAACCCTAAACTCTAAACCTTTGAGGCTCTGAGACATCGTGCTCAGCTCGAGGCCAGGGAGCAGCAGGCCGGCTCCTCCCAGCAAAAGCCAAAAACGGTTTGGGTTTAAGGCTAAACCCTAAACCCTAAACCCCTACACCCTAAACCCCTAAACTCTAAATCCCTAAACCCTAAACCCCTAAGCCTAAGCCCTTTCCCCCCTAAACCCCTAGACCCCCCGATGGAAGAGAGGCTCTGCAGGTGCTTAGACGATCGACCCAGGAAACTTCAACTCAAGGCCCAATTTTTATGAAACTGTCAGAAGGCAGGCACTCAAAGGAAAGGATGCCGTGGTAGGAAAAGGTCAAAGAGCTCCCAGCCTCACAGATCTCCTCACCACTTCTGCCCAGGACCAAGTCTGGAAAGTCCGGGGGGCCAAAACCTCAGCCGCTTAGCCGCACTTGCAAGATGGCGACGGAAGAAAAACTGCGGATCTGAGCAGGCAGAGAGACCCCGTGGTGGAAAGTTGTTGCTGGGTGTTGCTGGGCGACAAACATGGCGGTACGGCCATCAGCCGTGGCGCGGTGGTGCTGCTACTCAATAGATCTCTTTCTGTCTATATAAAGATATAAATATATGTATTTGTTTCTTTGCGGATAAAAAAGATGTCACGCTGGTTGTTATATTGAACTGGGGTTGGCTTCCTAGAGAGACGCATGGGGATCTTGACATCATGGAACTTTCAAGTTTGCTTCAGCTCAGGCAGATCCGCCCCTCGTGCAGGAGTTTTACATCAGGGCTCCTTTGAAGTACCTCCTCTAGTTGTACTGTATCACAATTCAAGCTTCGAAAAGTGGCCGAAATCGTGAAAAAATTCTTGTAGAATGGCAATGAGCTGCATGATCAACATTAGCTGATCCAAAGATCTCCAAAGCTTTTACTCAAGACGTGTTTTCTTGAGCCATGCGGCAGTAAAGCGATTTTCAGCGAATTCCGCAAGTGAACAGGAAAATGCAAACATCAGACTCCGAAACTCCGAAAAGAGAAGGCTGCCGGTCAACTCGTCTAGCTCAAGTTCCAGGATTCCAAGAAATGTCGTCCTGCTTTTGTGGTGTGCAGGCATTTGTCACCATGCGTTGCCCATGAAATCATGCAACGAATAAGAATGCTCCACGCACGCATCTTCTGGCCACAAGCACCATGCAGTGGGCGTAACCTAAGAGATCCAGTCATCCTCAATTACAGAGAATACCACTGCAGACTTGATAAACGGCTTGTTCTCTAGGCACGAAAAATCGTTTCCGAACCCACAGCCCTCATAATCAGCAGTAGAAATGCACTGGGACATGAAACGCATGACGGTGTTTTGATTGATTCTGCGAAAACTCGCGCTGAAATCTTTCGTTCCGAAACGCCTTCGACCCCGAAGTTCGCCTCGGCCTGGCCGAAGTGGTCAAAAGGTTCGCATACGGACCCCTTGCCTCCCCTCTGATTCGCAAGGGTGCACTTCAGTTGACTACCACCCCCCCTCCGACCGCCGTGCTGCCGACCGGCCCCAAGGTATGCTTGTGAAGTTTCATTTCCTTTTGGGCTTCTCGATGGTAGTTCTTCCTGCCAGCGGTCTTGTGGTAAGAAGCAAAACCATCACGACCGACGGCATCGCCTATTTTTTCTCGCCATCTCGCTCTCTCGCGGCGCTGGCAAGTTCCATCAGAAGACACGACCTGAGGATGTCGAACTTGTACATAAAGCTTAAAAATGTGCGGATTGAGGAAGCTTGCAATATGTAAAGTTCGAGGTTTCGGGTTCAGGCCGCGAGGTTTGCTCTGTCTGGGGTTTAATTAAGACTAAGGGCTCCGGCGTTGCAGTGATTGAGCAAAACAAGGGGATTGAATAATGAAGTTGCCGCAACGTGTTCTCAAAAGACGGACATCAAGGTGTTCGGCCTGCATCGGAAGGCACACACATGCTCACTACGTGTCTTTGTGCCTTACCATCTGCCATCGCAGAGCTGTGCAGCCGCGGATCTAAGGATTCTGGAGCTTTACAAAACATTCGGATATGATGGGCTAGCTGCGTGTGCGACGACAGTCATGCATGCATGCGTTGCACATTGAGAGCACACACGAGGTCACCACATCCCTGTGTCACCACTTGCCACCAGCCATGGGCGAGCTGTGCGGGTGAAAGGACTGTTGTGACTACAAGAGTTCAAACGTTTAGAAGCTGACCCGAAGCCTGAAGAAAGAGCACACGTCGAAGCATCAACTTCCAACTGCAAACCCCTGAACCCTAAACGCTAAGCCCAAAAAGCAGCACCATGTCAGTAAGAGCCACTATACAACAAAAAAGGGCGGGCGCGGTGGGGCGCACAAGCCGCATGGCTCAGTTAACTAACCAGGTGCTCCTGATACATGACTTTGAGCAGCCAAACTCAGGGAAACAGTTGGTCATCATCTGCGCCCCTTGCCTTTAGGCCAGACGTTGGCCCAAAGTTCATGGACCGTTTGTTCAAGAATAAGAGATTCATTCTTGACCTGCAACTCTCCGCTGAGGCCCTGACGAAAATGAGCATGCACAGAAGCCGTTTGTCAATGCCACTGCAGGTTAGAGACTTGCATTCATGACAGGCCCGAGCTGCACCGAAGAAGCAGCACCATGTCAGGAAGAGCCACTCACCCCGCACTGGCGTGTATCAGAAAACACGCCGCCCGAAGCAATGACAGCACAGCTCACAGAAAATTCTTCACGAGTGGGAGCAGGTCGTGGGAGCCCACGCCAGATGAGACAGCAACAGCCTTCTCCCCACAGGCCGTCGAAGATGGACCGCAGTCACTGTACTGCGATACACTCGCAAATTGCCCGGTCCCATGTGGCAGAGTGCCAGCGGCAATGACATACATGGTGAAACAACTCAAAGCTTCATCAAGTCTTTGACAGCTTTGCAAGCCGAACCAACGAACCAACCCGAACTTCCAGTTGCTTTTGGCTGCAGCGTTTGCCAAAGCCATTGCGAAGAGGTCTGGCTCCAAAGGGCCTCTTGCCTCGGGATGGGCCGTCAGCTGGGTTGCTTTCGCTCGGAATGTAAACGATTCTGGGCAGCAGGTCTGCTGCCAGTGTCGTTGCGGCCGCAGCCGTGAGCACAGTACGTAGTGCACGAGCAGAGCTCCTTCCTTTGGAAGCAGCTCCAACAACAACTTTCGCGTCCAGAAGCAGAGCAGCTTTGTGATGATGGTTTGCAGCTTTGCGTGCGATCCACTTCAAAGACAGCAGATACGCGTGTGCCTCCAGCACACCAGAATGTGCCTGCCCCTTAGCCTTGCAAGACATGACAGTCACAAAATCCGCCTGGCTAAAGCGAAGGCGATGTGGTTGCCCCAGCCTGCCTACTTCAGGAGGATCCTCAGGTCCAGGCGTAAGTCTAACGTAGTCGCCTCGCCTTTCAGCCAATCTGCAAACGTTACCCGCTTCGGTGGCACTGCAACAGCAAACCGAAACTCCAAAGCCGTACTGCGGAGCTGCATCTGCAGCAGTAAGGAACTGCAGCGGCTCCCTATCCAAGGACGTGCAGAACAAAGGAGAAAGAACCAGAGTGAGCAAGATCTCGTCCATGACGTTGCTAGGAACCACCTGTTTCTGGCGGCTGGGCTCACGCCGGACGAAGCCAAAAACTGCATCGTAAATGCTGAAGAAGGGCCGCTGCAGCAGAGAGAACCATTCCCACACGCCCAAGAGCGAATGGAAACCCTCGGGTGTAGCCACTCCAGTGTCAAGGAGGTCCAGTGTGGAGCAAATTGCTTGTCCCAACTTAGCCTTGTTCGGACGAGCCATTGCAGGACGAGATGTCAGATCACAGCCAAGCGCCGTGACCTGGCTCTCGAGTGTCACATCCTTCTTGCGGTTTCTGGGAACACCACAGTCTTCAAAAGCCTGGTCGAGCCGTATCAAAGTGGAGGCCCCCTTGTCCTTTCGCTTGTGCACCAGAACAGTGTCATCAGTCGCAACGAAGCAGGCCTCATCGAAGCAGGCTGGCAAAGCATGGTCGAGTGACAGCACGCTGCACTCTTCAATCCCAGCCCGGCGGCACAATGCTAAGGTTGTCTCCTGCGCCACCGCAGAAGACCACGAAAAGCCCATTGGCCACACAGTGTGCACCGGAAAAAGCTTCGTATCGCCGGTGACCGTAGGGGGCCTATCATCGCAACACCTAAGCACATCTTCCATGCTGAGGCCAGCCGCCAGCAACTCGTCCACGTGGACGGGTGGCTGGGCAAACCAGCCCTGCAACTCAGCCGGGGCCTGCAATGCATCAAAAAAGGTAGAAGCATCACGCTTGGAAAAGAAGACGTCGCTGCCGGGCTCAATCTCCAAATCCAGAAAAGATGCTGGGTTTGCCAGTCTGCAGGGCTTCGGAGGCCGAGAAGCACGGCAAGACACACAAGAGCCATCCCAGACCTTTCGCTGTCGACCAGAGGTCTTACCGACAGCAAAGACTCCACCCATGCCTTGCACAGCAGTGCGCAAACGCAACTTGCCACATCTGAGCTCACGGATGGTGAGCAAAACATATTGCTGACGCTGCTGAGAACTAAGGTGGGGCTCGGGCTCCTTGACCTGCAATCCAGCCGGGAAGATTCTCTCGACATCAGAGATGACGGCCTGCATCTCCTCCGGCACAACGGCAGAAGTATTGCACGTTCCCGCCACACCTGGCAGATCCACCGCTTCGCTGCGCAACTCCTCGAAAGCCGCAGTAGCGCCCTCATTGCACTGAAAAGCGTTGCGCCACGGCAGGCTGTTTCCGAAGTGACTGTCCAAATCACTCAAGAAACTCACAACCCGGGAGCAAACATGGCGATGTGCAGAAGCCTGTGCTTTAGTAGGGGTCCAGGTGCCAAGAGCAGACACGTCAGGCTCTTTCAAACCACCGTGCAAGCAGTTCAGTCCCGAAATGCAGATGTTGCTGATTTCCAAACAAACCGTCTGGGACAGCTGCTGCGTGTCGACTTGAGCTGGCCAGCCTGCAAGCCTGGGCAAAGGTAGCAAATCCCGGCGTCGCCTTGACTGCTGTTGTGGAGCCGCAGCACTCCACTTGTGAAAATATCGCCCCACACGAAGCTCGCATGTTAGGAGGATTGCTGCAAGAGCATCTCGGAACCTGGCAGAAGCTGGCAACGAACCCCGTGGAGAGACAGATTCTGTTGATCTGACCTGCGGCAGCAGCGTCGCTAGCCTTCGCACCAGTTTGTGCTTTGCACTTCTCCAAACATTTCGGACAAGCCTGGCTGGCGAACTCGTCATGTGCAGACCCGGTGCTCTTTCCAATCCCTAAGGGCGGCAAGCAGCGAGTCCAAGCAAAACAAGAAACCAACCTCACGCGGGGAGAGACATGCGCACAAGCCGCATGGCTCAGTTAACTAACCAGGTGCTCCTGATACATGACTTTGAGCAGCGAAACTCAGGGAAACAGTTGGTCATCATCTGCGCCCCTTGCCTTTAGGCCAGACGTTGGCCCAAAGTTCATGGACCGTTTGTTCAAGAATAAGAGATTCAACCCAAAAACTCCGGGATCGCCTTCGGCTGATATTGGGAAATCAGGCCCCTCCCCCCTGCCCGCCGTCACGGCCTTGGACAAGCATTGAGGGTTTCGTGAGCTTGAGTCGAAGTTGAACCGGTTGGTGTCAGGGCTTACGGATTGCGGTTGAAAAAATGCCTGGGTGCTTCAATTCGTACTTCATCATATCAGTACTGTGTTGTCAGTGCTGCTTCTTGTCGTTTCAACTCTGATGGCCACTATGGCCATCACCGTGACATTCTCTGCTAGCTACTAGTCCATTGCTATATTGTATGCATATACACACTTCAGCACCCCAGCACACAGCTCCGGTGGTTTAGCAGTTTGGTAACTTGGACCAATTTATGCAGGAGCTAGGGCGCGTTATATTTCAGCCTGCCATGACTATTCATCTTGTTCCTAGTACGGCACCTGTTGTTGCTGCTGTTCTCGTTGTGCGTCTGCCGATTCGAAGCGTGACGGCTTGCTGCTGTCCCTGTACTACGGCTTTTCGTACTCCACCAACAATGTCATTCAGCTGATGCGATTGGCATTTCCAACAAACATCGCCACCATTGCGACAAGTTCAACTACTGCAAGCATTGCGTGTCTCACTCCCTTGTCACTGTTGTTGCTGCTTGTGGTTCTTGCTCCACTGCCATGCCAGTGCCGACAGTGCTATCAACCTTGTGTAAGGTGGTGCTACCAAATGCGACTACTACTTGAAGCTTTTTGCTAGTACTACGGCCGTTGCGACTACTGTTTGACGGTCCTTTGTTAGTACCACTCTGGCATCCACGGAGCTTAGCCAATGCAGCATGGATACCATCGGTCTGACCTTTGTACTCATCTTAAGCTCGCTTGCAACTTCTAGCTGTTCGAAGTCAGCCTTCCTCCACAGAACTATAGCTCCAAACCCAGAAGCAGTCCTCCAGCCCCGCGGCCGCAATGCCGAAACGACTTCGAGAACACTTACATTAACATTGCAGCTCTCCTCGCAAGCTCCCCAGCCCTCGCTGGGGCCACGGGCCACCGCGATTGCCTGGAAGCAACAGTGCAGGCACACATCTGGAATTGTGTTGTGGGCCCTGGGGGATTGCAATTGGGAGCATCGGAACCAGGATTGTGGAGTCTCTTGCGAGGTTCTTATTAACTTATAGGACTTACAAGAAATATCTTGCTGATCACAAGAGTCGCTCATGAGGAGTGGCGTGCTCCGTTGCATCATCCTTTGCACTGGTGCCTTAACTTAACAGGTACAACAGTGACCGTTGAGGACGTGCAGGCTTCAGTATTCTGAGGTGTGATGATGCCCTACACCCTAAACCCTGACATGTAGTTGCCAAAAAAATACGTAAAACTACCCTCTGAGACTTTCGCCATGAAGATGATGGCGATGTCGTTCACCTGTCAGTTTTAAGGGCGTTTAAGACTTGAGGCTTATGGGGACTTTTTGTTGAAGGCGTCAACTCTCACAGCTTGCAGTCTTTTCCGGTATAGGGTTTTGGGTTTAGATTCAGCGTCGTTTGAAACTGGGTTCTACAGTTACAGTTTCGGGTAGAGTTCAGCCCGACGTTTTCAAACAACGCATTCCGAAGAGCCGGAAGATTCCTAAACCTTCCAACCCCAGTGCAGCGCACGGGAGGCAGCTGAAGATGCTATCCAGCTACAGAGCGACCCAAATGACCTAAACCGCCCGGTCTCTCTAAAGCAAACTGCTTTAAGGAGTTTTGGGTGGCAGTAAGGCAAATCTTCCCAAACCACGGCTGGGGGAGAATAAAAGGGATCAGAACATCAAATACTGGGCAGCCCGATCAAGATAGAGATAGAAAAAGCAAAAATTAACAGTTCATGGAGGCGGACTAAACAGACAAACTTGCGGAATGGCGGGTCGTGGAAGCAGGAGTAGGTGCTGTGAAACTTCCGAACTTGCCTTAGCACATTTTATTCCAAAAGCGACTCAGCAGCCCATGATTCTGACAGCAACATGGCAACATGTGTCCAAGAGGAGTCGTCCCTCTGTAAACTCCAAACTGCAAACCACTGACCCCAAAACCCTAAACCCCACAAACTCCGGGATCGCCTTGGCCGCGCCGGCTGGCGGGCCGGTGGCGGGGCGGGGCGATCGTTCTGACGGATGGGTTTAGGGTTTCGGGTTTGACGGGAGCTTTCTTGGACTCTCCCTAGCCGCCCACAGTTCTGAACACCCTGATCAAACTCTGAATCTTGCCAAGTCGCGTTTCCCCGATCGCCCCCGGGCCGCGATTTTCCGAGGCAGCTTCCCCGGCTGGCGTTGAAGGCTTTGGGGCTTGGGTGAAGGTTTGGAGTTTAAGGCTTCAGGGATTGCGGACAGAACTTAGGAGGTCGTTTGCATCCTCGATGGTTCAGAGCTTAGGATAGCTTTGGGTTTGAAACATAGGGTTTAGGGCTTCGCAGTTGAGCGTTCAATTCTTTCCTCCCACGAATGGCCCTGCTGAGAAGCCGCTGATCCTTCAGCTAGCTTGCTGAAGACTGACGCCCGAAGCCACTTTCCTTGAATTTGATTGAACCCTCAATTAACACATACCGTCAACCACGTTGAACAAGGAGGAAGCTTTCCTGAACCATGCGGCTGAAGGCAAAAGAAGCGGAACAAAGAAGAATAGCACTACACTGTTCTATAACTAGACTAGATTATACTGTACTATATTATGACTATATCTTATTGTACTGCTTTATGGAGGTATACTATATTACAGATATTGCTTGTACTACAGTATAGACCCAAGCCAAGAACGAATCCGATCGCTGGGCCAGGATTAGCTGGGGCTTTGGAAGATCCTGAGGTGTAAGATTTGTTTGCTTCTACCGTCAACACGTCTAATCACACATTTCTGACACTGACAGTCCCTACGGTGGATATCAACAAAGTCTTCTGTGACCCCGCTGAAAGGCCTATACTGCTTTCAACTGTAGCTAACCCGCTCATAACCCTACTTCTACCTACGCATAAACCCCCAGACCTCGTTCCCTAAATCCGGAAACCCCGAAAACTCGACAGCCCCAAACTCTCAACTCAGACCCTGCCGCAGGCCTCGGCGAAGGTGCCCGGCATGGCCTCGTGGGAGGGGTGTTGTGGGTTTCGGGCTTGGGATTTAGGCTTTAGGGTTTGGGGTTTCGGGCTTATGGTTTAGGGTTGTTCAAGGTGAAGTTGGGGTGTTTCGATGGCAAGGCAAGACGAGTCTCGGTGGCGTTGGAGGCTTGCGGTGTGTTTTTTTGCGTGGATGGTGCTAGTTGGTGGCTTTAGGGTTTAGGGTTCAGCATTTAGGATTTAGGGT